TCTCAAATTAAAGTCTTTTATTTGTTTACTTATCCATTTTCCGTCCTCATTTTTGTATTAACTTTTGTCGAAACCATTAACCCAAATCCAGAAATATCATTTTCTTTACTTATTAGTTAATACTAACTACAGAATTGGCCAGCGCTGTTCATGCGTTGAAAATTGTTTTGTTCGTATTATCGCAAAAGACAAATGAACTAAAAAATATTTGTCAAAGTGAAGAAAACTAATACTTTTAATCATTATAATTGCCCAAGCCACCTTTTTAAGTCTATTAGATTTACTATTATTTAAGATGAAAAAAATACCATGTTCTTTTTACTATGAAGGAGTTAATTACCAAAAAAAAAGTAATAAATATTCCAATGCTAACATGTTTCATTTTTTTTATAACTGAAAAGCACTATCCGCTACATGAAAAAATTTACTCATTATATAATTAAAAGAGTCCTTACTGAAAAATGAATCCTTACCATAAACTAAAAAACAAAAATTAAACTAATGAGATCACATTTGTTTTATAATAACTTGTATGTATCAGGCAATTTATCAATTATACACTCAATAATTTTTTAATAATGTTTAGTTATTGACGTATGAAATACACGTTTCAAAGTGAAGACATTAAACTTGCAATAAAATAAATTAAGTTTTGGCAAAATTTATAACATACTATTGTTAAAAAATTTCAATATTGGGCATCAATCTCATGATAGTTCCTCTATTATCTAAGTTTGACTCATACCCACAATGAAGTTTTACCAAAAAAATGCTCATGTTGAAATTGTGATAATATAAAGTCTCGATGCATTGTATGTACGCGAAGATTCATGAAATAAACACACTGAAAAATCATCTTCCAGACAATATAGATCAGTTTATAAAGTGTGATATTTTTATTTTTTTATAATCATATAAAGTGCGAAATTTGAGCTAAGGTTCAACTAAGAATTCTTGAAAAAATAGTACCGAGTGTATTTTCATCAATGTTTTAGAAACCCACCGCACTACCCGGTTGGAGCGAAAATATTGAATATCAGTTTCTAAATGATAGGTGGTTTAAAACGGTATAAAACAACAATTGAATCACAGTCAAACCATAATTTTTATACAAAATATCTTATTACTGTCATTTTGTTTAAGAAAATTACTGACTTATTTGTGTATAACCTCCGATACAATTTCACAATTATTAATTTTAATCGGCCAAACAAAATACAATGAGAAAATACTCGAGAACATGCAAATTGGACAAACACGTGTCTTTTAACAAATAAAGCATGTACTTACCAAATAAAATAAAGCATGTAAAAGAAAATAATAAAATATATAAAAATTGGCCGCTGCTGTTTGCAAATGCCGAAAAAGAAAAAAGAAAAGGAAATTCCGCAAGATGCGGTGAAGAGTTTTGGGAGAAAACCCTTTATAGTACTAGCTTTGAACCCGACCGGTTGGCCGGGATATGTTTGTTTTATCATTCATTATAATATGCATATTTTTATATTCGTATCTACTGGAAATTCCAAAATAATTTATATATTGTTAAATATGTTTACAAAATAATTCTTATTTCTTGTATCTAACTTTAATGCAGATTCATGAAAAGGTGATTAAGTGTAGGCTAGACTAATTTATCAACCACACACTCGAGCATAGTTAATAATATAGTTATAAAAAAATAATCTATAGTCACTTACGTAAAGAATATATTCAACTCTTAGTCAAATTTTGACTCTTAACCAAATATATCACATATCCATATTAAAAATAACTCAACTGTTATTAAAACCATTAACCCACTAATGATGGTTGGATGCTCTAACGTTCTCACACTAAATCACTTCATCAAATTTTATTAGCATCCCACTAATGATGGTTGGATTCTCTAAGTCACACTTACATTGATAAATGGTTCTTGATCTATAAACAAACTTTCAATAATTAAAACCCTTAACCCGTATGCAATATAACCATAAAATTTGGGTGAATCTAATTGTATGTTTTTCTTAAGAAAAATATAATTATATGTTTAGATTAAAAACAACTCTTGTATTCTGAATTATATGATCAATATATATTAATCAATGATTATTGTTATATAGAAAAATTATCAATAAACAAGACCTTTAATTCTATTATTTTAAGAAATAACACCATAAAATTAGGATGAATCTAAAATATGTTTCCATTTAGTAGTTGATATAAAAATTGTGTCTTTTTAATAATATATTTTAAAAATGTTGATTAACTAGTTTAAACTTTTACACTACGTGACCTAGAAAGTATAGTATAAGCATCTGATAATGAATTATTTTACAGACATAAAAAAACTGAAGGAATTATTGAACGGCTTGAAAAAATTAAGCAACATTATATATGAAGAAAATACAAAACCTGAACGGAAAGAAAATAAAAGGATAAATATGGCACAATGAAAAATTGGAAGGAATATTGCAAAAACAAAAAAACAAAAAAAACAGGAAGGAAATGTATATCTAACCGTAGAAACAACCAAAACTGACGGAAAATTAAAAAAATAAAAGGACGGAAGCGAGAAACGCGGGAGAACTTGAAAGCCTACGTGGCATGAGGCTTTTTCTGAAAACGCTTATTGTAAGAGATAAGATAAGATTTAGAGAAAGATAGAGAGAAGAGAAGATAGAGATAATTTATTGGCGTTGCGGACTTGCGGCCCTTGCGGGTAACTGAATCCGGCCCGGAATGGCGGAATCGCAACATTGGAAAATACTCAAATAGGAAAGAAAGAAACCGGCGGGAAACCTTGTGGGTCCTCTTAATTTCTTTTCTGCACTTTGATTGGCGCTTCACCTCCCTTATCCGCATAGAGCAACGTAACTGGAGCGGGAGAAATCACCTAAACTAAAACAGAAAAAGAAAGAGAAATCAATCAAGAGTGACTTTTTGAGCGAGAAGAGAAGCAAATCCCTGTGTATTTGGAAGCTATAGATCTGCCAGAGACGATACGGATGGAGCAGCGGGCGTGAGCGATATTTTTCTTGGCGGCGAAGGAGAGCTCTGGAGAATAGAGCCCGCTACTGGGGGTAGAGCTCTAGAGCCGCTCCCTCCTTGTTCTTTCGTCTTCTATTGACAACGCGTTCCGCTAATCTCATTATCCGTTTTGATTTCTGGTGTATCAGGATACCGCTCTTTGTTGTTGCAAGCCTCCTGCCAAGAAAGGTAAACATCTAGTAAGTTAGTGGATATCGCTTCTCCGAACCATAACATCCACCCATTGTTTCTCTTCTGATAACGCAGTTCCTAAGTTTTGCTTGCTAGTGAAAGTTGAATGATCAAAACCTGTTCCCAGTTCCCTGTTTGGTTGATGATCAATACTAGATATATTTTCTTTCTCCGTTGAGATCTGAGTCTAGCCTTTGGGATTTGACGTGCTTGAGGAGAAGAATGTGGACTTATCGAATAAGATAGAGGAAGGTTTTGGACCAATTAAATGAACTGGGGATTCTGTCAATTACAGATTGGATGTACGAACTGATTAATGCTTTTGCTGTATCTCTCGGGTCCCAGAAAATTGATTGTTTATATGGATGGGTTGCATGTCTTGGTGAAATCAAGTGCTGAAGATTGTCGAGATCTAAAGAAGCGATGGAAGCCATTAGAGAGAGTGGAAGACATGCTTGATAAATTCGATTGTGTGTGCTGTCTTTGATTATTACATGGGGCAGAGTTTCTTTTGCAGTAGTCATTTCCTTGGGAGAAAGTGGAGATGGTATCTGGAAGTTGTCCCCGCTTATATACGGAGTGCATAAACTTCATCTTAAGCTTCTTATTGATTTGCTTGGATTTGTGCTCAGGGATCTCATTAATTATTGCCTCAACATCTTCTACGTAAGTCCAAGGTATATATGTATGGTACATCCTCGTCTTATTTTATCATCACTTCACTTCTACCTCATAGGTATGAAGTTGCTGACTTATCCTCGCACTAATTAACAGTTGTAACCCTTACCACACAAGTCAGCTTCTTAGAGGAGATAAAGAAGGAACTTGAAGATCCCAGTACAAGGTAACCCTTAGATTCTTAGCTCAAGTATCTCCAGTGAATTGATTGCCTTAATTAGGTCATCTATCCAACCTGCATGTATAGATGCATATACTGTCAAGTAGGGGAATGAGTTTTATCATTTAGCATCTAATTTCGTGAATCTATTCCCTACAGTCAGTGTGACCTTTTCTGGACCTTGTGATGAATGCAATGCATGCTTTGATCTCTGCACTCTAGTGCTAGGTTACAGAACTGTCCAGCCCTGAAGTCCAAAGAGGAACGCTACATATTTGCATTTGAATCTTCAACAATATATATATATATATATATATATATATATATATATATATATATATATATATATATATATATATATATATATTATGCAATGGATAGGTTGTGTGTAGTTTAGGCTTGTGGCAGTGGCATCTCTCATATGTGTTGTAAAGTTTTCATGCACCGCAATTGCTCCGTATAATATAGCTATCAATGCTGCACTTTTTATACATTATTATTATTATTAGGTCATTGAGATTCCAGTTTTTGACTTGCGAACATGATTCTAAATTTGTAGGCCTGTGAGAACAATGGATAGAAGTTGGATACATGAGCCTAATAGATTGAGTGAGAAGTTTTTGAAAGGGCTTTATAATTTTATTCTTTTTGCCAAAGCTTCCGCGAGAGATGGAAGATTTGCTTGTCCTTGTCAAAAGTGTGTGAACATGCAGCGGTTCTCACCAGGTGTTGTTTCTTCTCATATACTGGAAAATGGGTTCTCGCCGGGGTATACAGATTGGATTTTCCACCGAGATCCAACCTCTCAAACTAGTGATTCTAGTTATTCCCACCAAAATGATGATGGACTAAGAGAAGTTGATGCACAAGAGCAACACGGCGTTCAACAGTTTCTTGAGGATATGGCTGTTGGTTATGATGAGATTGAAAATTCAAGATCCAGGGTAGAAAATGATTGGGGTGATAGCTCCACTATTGATGATGGCACCCAACCAACTGAGGCATATGAATATGCCAAAAGGTTCCATGATTTATTGGAAGAATCTGACGAGGAACTTTTTAGTGGATGTCGTAAGCATAGCAAACTCTCATTTATCCTTGAGTTATACAACAAGAAGTGTATGTATGGATGGAGTGATAAGTCTTTTGAGGACTTACTGACCACAATGAGGGAGACGTTGCCTGAAGGGGAAAAACTTCCAGAGTCATCTTACGAAGTCAGAAAGTTAATTGATGCATTGGGTCTTGATTACCAAACAATCGATGCATGTCCAAATGATTGTATGCTGTTCTGGAAAGAACATATTGATGAGCCTAGATGCTTACACTGTAATGCATACAGATACAAGGAAGAGACTGAAAGTTCATCGACTTCAAAAAGAAACAAGATTCGAAAGGGAGTGAAAGTACTCCGTTGGTTTCCTCTGATTCCAAGACTTCAAAGGTTATTCATGTGCAAAAAGACGGCTTCTTTAATGAGGTGGCACTTTGATGAACGCAGGGACGATGGGTACTTGAGACACCCTGCGGATGCTCGTGCATGGAAAGATTTTGATAGTCGATATGCTGACTTTGCTAAGGAGCCGCGCAATGTTCGACTAGGACTGGCCACTGATGGGTTTAACCCTTTTAGGTCATTAAGTAGCACTCATAGCAGTTGGCCAGTGGTTGTAACTGCCTACAATTTGCCGCCCTGGTTATGCATGAAACAGTCTTCTTTGTTCTTGTGCTTACTCATTCCTGGACCTAAATCACCCGGAGCTAAGATAGACATCTACTTGGAGCCCTTTATTGAAGAGCTGATTCATTTATGGGAAAAAGGAGTTGATACATATGATGCTCACGCGAAGACTACTTTCAAGTTGCATGCATCGTTGCTATGGACTATAAATGACTTTCCGGCTTATAGCATGTTATCAGGTTGGAGAACGAAAAAAGGCTATGGATGTCCATGCTGTGGCTTCAATACTTGGTCAAAATGGTTAACGCATGGTAACAAATATTGTTTTTTGGGGCATCGTCGGTTTTTAAGCTATGATCATTCATGGAGAAGAAATAAGAAATGTTTTGATGGCACTGAAGAGTTGAGAGGACCACCTGTTCGGATGACCGGATCTTGCATTCGTGATTTATGGGATTCTAATGGATCAACAAGGGATCTAAATGGTACAAACATAAACATCACGGAGGGGTGCAACAAGAAAAGCATATTTTTTCGTCTTCCTTATTGGGAGTACAATCGAGTTAGACATAACCTTGATGTCATGCACATTGAAAAGAATGTATGTGATAACATTTTAGACACATTGTTAAGTGTTCGAGGGAAAACCAAGGATAACTTGAAGGCTCGCTTTGATATGCAGGAAATGGGTATAAGACGCACTCTTCACCCATTTAAGTTGCCTACTGGGAAATACGAAGCAGCCCCCGCTCTTTTTGAGATGTCTTCGACAGAGAAAAAACAAATGCTTCGTGTGCTAAAACATGTGAAGGTACCTGATGGATATTCTTCCAACATATCTCGTTGTGTAGATGTGAAACACAAGAAGATAAGTGGTTTGAAAAGTCATGATTGTCATGTATTACTACATGATTTGTTACCAGTAGCAGTGAGGGGATGTCTGAAAGATAGAGTAGCTAGAGCCTTAATTGATTTGAGTGCTTATTTTAGAGAACTAAGTTCTAAAGTTCTTAAAGTAAGTCGTCTTGAGGAGATGGAAGTAGAGATTGGAGAAATATTGGCTCGTATGGAGATGATATTTCCTCCATCATTTTTTACTATCATGGTCCACTTGGTCGTACATCTTGTAGAAGAGGCCAAATGGAATGGACCCGTGCAATATCGATGGATGTATCCAATAGAGAGGTACACATTTAATTTACGTACTTTGATATTAACTTTTGAGTTTTAATCACCAACACACACACACATATATATATATATATGCTCTTAGATTTTATGTGGTTAAATTCTCATTGAAGATAATTCTTATCAAGAAATTGGGTGGGTTGTTTTAATTTCAGTTTACTGTTTCTGTTTTGGCATTCTAGCCCTTATCATAGCTGAGATTTTCCATTGAAATGTTTGGACTCCATCTACTCTTTAAGCTATGAAATATATTATTTGCTTATGAAAAATGTATTTTCAATATAGGTACTTGATGACACTCAAAGCTCATGTTGGGAACAAGGCTTATCCTGAAGCCTCAATTGCTCAATGGTACATTGCAAATGAAGCAATTACATTTTGCTCTAGATACTTTGAAGGAGTCAGAACAAGATTTAATAAACCTGCAAGAAATAGTGATGACATGGATCTATTGAGAACGGAAGATTCCCCTGTGAACACTACTTCGGGTCATCCCATTGGAAAAGTAGAAAATATTATCCTTGATCCTACTTCTTGGGTTCAGGCTCACCGATATGTGCTATACAACTCAAAGGAAGTTCTCCCATACATAGAGTATGTTCTCTTTTTCTCCTATAAGCTAGTCTTAATTTCCTTTTATTACTAACTAGAAATTCATTATAATATTTGCTTATCGGATTGACAGAGAGCATAAGGATGAGATTAAAAGGAAACTTTCAAGCAGAAATCGTAGAAATAATGCTTCTCGTCTAATTGAAATTGAGAAAGTCCACCATTCCACCTTTGTTGATTGGTTCAAAGGACGGGTGAGTGCCTTCTTTCGTTTAATTGTGTCCTTATGAACTTAGCTAGATATAGCATTGCCTAAATAAAAAAGTTACATAATTTTTATTTTCGCTTTTCTTCTATCATGTACGCTGTAATACGATGTCGTCAATTAGGTTTGACATTCCTTTCGATATACCAACATAATTAGTAGCTGTTGATTTCCCTTTTTTTGCTGTGAGTATATAGGTAGCTAGGCTAGAGGAGATGCATGATCCGCGATTTACTGCTGAACTGAAAGGGCTAGCCCGAGGTCCGAACTATGGGGTTAGACAATTTAAAGGTTACATCACCAAGGGAGTCAGATATCATGCAAACTGTCGTGAAGAGGAAAGAAAAACTCAAAACAGTGGCGTTGTTGTAGCAACAAAGACCTCAAGTTTAGAAGGTGAAATTTTATATTATGGACGGATAATTGACATGATTGAGTTGAACTACTTCGAAAGGTTCAGAGTAGCTCTATTTAAGTGTGAATGGGTTGACGTGGAACGTGGAAGAGGGTTGAAAAAAGATGCATACGGATATACTATGGTGAATTTTTCAAGATTGATTCACACAGGGTCTAATATACGTGATGAGCCTTTTGTCTTTGCAGATCAAGTTAGGCCTGTATTTTACATTAAAGATTCACAGGAACCTGATTGGTATGTGGCACTTCGAACAAAGCCTAGAGACACATATGAATTAGGTGATGAATTAGTTTATCAATCGAAAAATGCGGATCAATCACTCTCGGTGGAAAACGCTGGTCCAGCTAGTGAAGATGAAAATTGGGTTCGTAATGATTTACGTCCTGTAGCATTTGAGTATGTAGATCCTGGTGTCGCTGCTACAACGAGTGTCATGTCGGAAGATGAAGCATAGACTTTGGAAGTTTTACTTTTCAATTTGACTTTTCATTTTTCCGATGAACATTGAGTTGTACTTAGTTTCCATTTGAAATGACAATGTTGATTCACTCGAATTGTGTGATAAAAAAATTAGCTGAATGTTTTCTTAAATGTTCCTGTTATCAATTGGAGTGCATTGAATAATTGGTGCGGAGCCTGTTGGAAGCAACATATTATCCGGGGGTAAGCCTGGTAAGGACACCATTTTCCTTCTATACTTTCCCTATGCGAGGACTCAGCTTCATTCTCTTTCTGCAGTTTCATTAATTTGTTTATGTGAACTCAAATTGAATGTCCTCGTAGGATTCAAGCCATTGGGGGATGAAGAGGTGTACAGCTTTAGGTCTGATCAGAATACGGAAATACATGTGTTATGTCTGCAACATAGCTACTGAATGCCTCTTCTAAAAGCTTCCTCCTTCATTGTCATTTCTAATTGAAGATGTATTGGTTTAAATGTATGCAGATAGTGTGTTGGTCTTGATTTTTAGTCCACCTGGTTATGGAGTTGGGCTATTGGACACAAGGCGGTATGGTGAAGTGTGCTAAGTGGAGGTGAGGATGCAGAAATGCATACTCCTTGATCAGAGAATGTTGTAACAAATTGGTATTTTGGCTTGACTCAATCTTCTAGAATCAACACAATTTGCTAGAAATGTGATTATTCACATGAATTTGCATATAAAGTGAAATAAGAAAGTGGATATAAAATCTGAGCAGTTAGCAGATAGCTCGAATAGAAAGAAGCCCCATTCCATTTTGGTCGGTTTCTTAGTCTAGTCTCATCTCATCACAGACTAGCCGGCGCATGAGAGTTGACTTAGCGGCAGCGGTTTGTTGTCTTTGAGCTGTTCTACTTTTGTTTTCATGCAGATTTATGGACTTACCACGATTCACATGAATTTTAGATGATGAAATTCAGAAAGTCTGGATAATCGAATTCCTCATCTATGGGATTGGCACTGGGTGCAATCATAGAAGTAAGTCTAGGATCTGCCTCTCTATTTGGCATTCTTTTACTGTCTTCTATTATGCCCTTTATTAATTTTCATAACTGTTCCTCAAATTAAGTGCTACATGAGGCAGCTCTTAACTGGGCTTCACTATTGCCATGTTAATCAAGTACTTCATCGTGATATCAAAGGTTCTAATCTTCTCATAGACCTGAGGGGAACCTAAAGCTTGCTGATTTTGGGCTTGCTAGGTCATTTTCGAATGATCATAATGCAAATCTTACAAACCGTGTTATTACTTTATGGTACAGACCTCCAGAGTTGCTTCTTGGGGCAACAAAGTATGGTCCAGCTGTTGATATGTGGTCTGTTGGCTGTATCTTTGCTGAGCTTCACCCTTATCTGCATAGCGCGCAACTGCAGCTGCAGACAGACTTCTAAACTATAAAAAAAAAACGTGAGTAACTTCGACAGCTAGCAACTTTTTGAGCTAAAACAGAAGCAAATCCCTAGCGCAGAGACATCCGTCAGCGCGGATTGCCTGGTGGGCCTGATAGATATTCTTCTTGGCGAGGAGAGCTCGGGTAAACCAAGACCGCCACCTGAGGTAACCGCTCCGTCCTTTTTCAGTTGTCCTATTGTCTCCCATTCACAGTGCTTGCACTTCGTTTCGTTTTTTTTTTCGTGTTTCAGATTACCGTTCTTTATTTTGCAAGCATCCTCCATCAATCGAGTTTCTAATTTTGGTTCCTCTCCCTCTGTCTCTCTCTTCCGTTCACTTTCTTTAGATCGAAGCTAGGGGAGAGAAAAACCATCACCTGCGCCCTCGAATTGTATTGTCTCAGAGGTTTTTCGAATTTTCGGCTGTGGCCTGAGATTTCCCCTTGCGCCTACGAATCAGGTAATTAGTGAATTCTTCTCTTCCTTCTTCAGACTTGGGCTGTGGATTATGACTCTCTTCTGGCTGCTGATTGATATCCCGATTCCTTCTCCGCCTGCTCTGCCGTTATCTGTTTAGAAATTTCAGCTTATGAACCAGTTGAAGTAGGTGATTCCAACTGGAGAAAGCTATACTATGATTCATGTTTTGATGTTTTTGCTTCGATGATAAGCCAATGAAACTTTGTAATTAGCGCTTGTTTTGATGTTGGTGAGAACTTCGACTGCTAGTTCTCAAGGACTGATACGGACTGCTTAGTGGAGTTTATTAGAGTTTTAGTAAGAAGCTGTGCTCTGTCCGTATCTAGTTGAATTGAACGAATGCTCACGTAGTGAATGGGTTTTAGGTGTGTTGCCTCCATGCTGATTATCTTAGTTCATTTATCACACCTGCATAAGTGCATACACAGTCAATTAGGGGGTTGGAGTTAGGTTTTATCATTTAACATCTAAATTCGTTAATATGTTCCCTACTGTCGTTGTGGTCTTTTCTAGATTTTGTGATGAAAGCATGCTTTGATCTCTGTAGTGTTAGGTTACAAAACTGTCCATCCCTTCTCCCCTGAAGTTCAACCTCTCCACGACAGAAAATCTAGCCCATTAATAGAAAGATTCATGCATTAGTTAGCCACGGGCCCCAAAATCTAGGGTATTAATAATTGAGGGACTGTTTCATTTCACTCTTACTTGTGGCTGTCTGTGAGCTGCTAACTTATATATCTTGTCATCATATTGCTGCTTTTCCTTCATTGTATTTCCTCTCGTTTTTTTCCCCCTGTTTCAGTGGGCTTTTAGTGCCTTCCAGACTTGTCCTACCTTCTTGTTTCTTCCCAGTTTTGAACTCCTTTGCTCCCCTTCTTTTACTTACTCGAAGTTTAATTTTAACTTGGGGATTCCATAGTTCCAGCTGGACGGCTTATTTCCTTATATTTTCTTATTTTGCTGCTGCTGGCCCTGATTGCTCTGTTTAAACTCTTAGTTTGTTTCTTTAAATGTAATCTATATCACCATTAAAAAAAAAAATGTGGCTGAAACTGTTGGAGAAGGTCTTGGCAAATAGTTACAAGATCCACCATCATTTTTACCAGCTACTTGAGTTGAAAAGAGTGCATAAATCGTTCTGGAAAAAACTTTTATGGTCTTGGGTAATTTTTTGGATAGTGATTTGTGCATGGATGTTTTCTTTCTACAACCACCATGCAATCGAGAAGAGAAAAGTGACACTTGCTAGTATGTGTGTTGAAAGAGCTAGAATGTTGCAGGATCAATTCAATGCGAGTATGACCCATGTTCAAGCCATATCCATCTTGATCTCCACCTTTCACCATGGCAAGAATCCTTTGGCTATTGATCAGGTTTGTAGAGTTCCCTTGTAGATTAGCTTTTCTCTATTATTTCTGGTTGCTTGAGTTTGAGTTTGAGATTCGAGATTTTAACTTATTAGTGCACTGTTTGTGTAGAGAACCTTTGCCAAGTACACAGAAAAAACAGCTTTTGAGAGGCCATTAATGAGTGGTGTGGCATATGCTATAAGGGTCCTTCACTTGGAAAGGGAGAAGTTCGAGAGGCAACAAGGTTGGTCCATAAGAAAGATGAACACCGTTCAACAAAATCCAGTTCATAAGGACATTCACATGCCAGAGAAGTTTGAGCCATCTCCAGTCCAAGAGGAATATGCTCCAGTGATCTTGGCTCAAGATACTGTTGCTCATATGGTTTCTCTTGATCTGCTGTCCGGGAAAGTAAGCTTTAACTATATGTTTTCATGTATGTTTTTATTTTAATTTATTCGAGATGTGGTAATTAGGAACAAGTTTGGATTTTTCATTAGTAAGCCTCAATTAGCCATTTGTGGAACTTGTAGGAAGATTGTGACAATGCGATACGAGCAAGAGAATCCGGGAAAGGGGTACTAACTACTCCTTTTAGGTTATTGAAAACCAATCGCCTTGGTGTAATTTTGACATTTGCTGTCTATAAAAGGGATCTCCCTGCAGATGCAACTCCAAAGGACAGGGTGGAAGCTACTGATGGGTATATATTATTTTTGGCATTAGTGTGTGCAATGATAAGAGGCTACGGCTTGTTTGGTCTCACAACTTCATGGATTATGCTTTTTTAGGTATTTGGAAGGTATCTTCGACATCGAGTCACTCGCAGAGAACTTATTTCAACAGTTTGCAGGCAAAAAAACCATCCTGGTTAACCTATATGACACAACTAATCGTTCTCAGCCAATCAGTATGTATGGCTCCGAAGTATATGTGGACAAATTGGAGCACGTGATTGCTCTTAACTTCGGTGACCCCCTTCGAAACCATGAAATGCGTTGCAGGTAATTCAACAGCTGAAATCTATGTTTTCAGTAAGTACGCATTTAAATTTGGTTGTCGTTTTAGAGGCTGAATGACTAGTGGTTGCTGCTGTCCGTATATGAGTCTGGAATGCGACTGCTGATGCCGGATTGTCTTGGTGAGAATGCATGGTCTTTGTTGCTGTTTCTGTCGGAGTTCTTTGAGGTCGCTGTTATCCCTGTCTTTCTAGGTTTGTTATGTTAGTGCTTACAGCCATAGGCAGCAAGAGCTCTTTATGGCTTGAGTATCCAGGTGGTCTGTATGGTGTGTCCTACTTTGGGTTGACATTGTGAGCTGTCCTTTCTTTTCCACTTTCTTGCCTGTTGGGTTATTACAGTTTGGGATTGGTAAGAATGCATTTGGCAGGGATTTATGTTGGAGGCACCTAAGTTACCTGCTCCTTCCATTTAAGTTCGGACTATAGGATGCTTGTGTTTTTCCTTCCTTCTATCGTGTTATTATTGCTCTGTGTGTTCTTGTTTGTTCAAACAGGCGCATGTGGTTCTTTATTCCTTTCAGTTTTGTTATAAGTAATAAATAATAAAATATCATTTATAAAAAAAATTGGTTGTCGTTAGCTATTGTTTTTTTTCTTTTTGAACCCAGATTCAAGCACAAAGCTCCATTGTCGTGGCTTGCAATAACGACTACAGGTTCTACTCTTGTGATTACTTTGCTTCTCGGATACATAGTCTTTGCAACCATGAACCATATGGCCAAAGTACAGGAGGAATACAATCGGATGGTTGAGTTAAAGAAAAAGGCTGAGGCTGCTGATGTTGCAAAGTCTCAGGTACGTCAATTCTTGTTTCAATAGTTGAAGTTATTTTTTTGCTTTGACCAGTTAGGCTTGTTTCTTGACCTGCCCACCTGTGGTTTCAGTTTCTTTCTACTGTTTCTCACGAGATTAGGACCCCAATGCATGGTGTATTAGGTAAGGTCGAAGAGTTCTTATTCCTTTCTACCATTATGCTTGAGCTCGGTTTAATACTTGATATCAAGTTCTTTGGGATTTTATACTTTGAGCTCGGTTTACTTTTTCAGGAATATTAGATATCCTTCTAGACACTGATCTTGATGTGACGCAACAAGACCATGTCCGAACCGCACAAGCTAGTGGAAAAACTCTTGTCTCACTTCTGAATGAGGTGTTGGACCAAGCAAAGATAGAGTCTGGGAAGCTTGATCTTGAATCCGTACCGTTTGACCTTAGAGCCATTATGGACGATGTTTTGTCTCTCTTCTCTGGGAAGTCTCAGGAGAATGGGGTTGAGGTAGCCTTATGAATAATCATAGTTCCTCTTTCAATTTCAAACGCCCACATCAATTTCAGCTTCGATTTCCAACCTTTTGAACTTTTTTCTTGTAACAGCTGGCAGTCTATATCTCTCACCGTGTTCCTGATATGCTCATCGGTGATCCGGGAAGGTTCCGACAAATCATCACCAATCTCATGGGAAACTCAATTAAAGTAAGTCCCAAAATTAGTCACTTTATTCTTCTTTATTTCGTTCTGATATGTCTATTGGTATCTGATATGTGAGATTCATTGTGAAAGAGGCATAGAGAAAGGAAAGCTTCTTATTGTTCAGCAAAAATGCATTACATTATTAATGAAGGAGCTAATGTCCTTTTTATGTTGTCCACTTCTAATAGCTAAATGTAACCACTTCTAATAACTAACTATATAACGTTGCCTAAAAAAACTGACTATATAACAGGCTAACCACTTCTCAATTGAGTTAAGGATAATGAATCCCATTAGTTTTGGCAACTGATCTAACATATTTTTTACCTTGAGTTGATTACTTATAACGATGGTTTATTTTGTTTTGTTACCAGTTCACTGAGAAAGGACACATTTTTGTTACTGTCCATCTTGTTGAGGAAGTGATGGAAACCACAGACATTGAAAGAGAAGCATCATCAAGAAACACACTGAGCGGGTTTCCTGTACCAGATAAACGCCGTAGTTGGGCAGGATTCAAAAATATTGGTCAAGATGGACGCAATTGCTCTCTCTCTCCCGACCGTATCAGTGTGATTGTGTCGGTGGAGGATACAGGAGAAGGTATTCCTCAAGAAGCTCAACCTCGCATCTTTACTCCTTTTGTTCAAGTTGGTTCATCCATCTCTAGGAAACAAGCAGGAACCGGAATTGGCCTTAGCATAAGCAAATGTTTGGTGACCCTAATGGATGGAGAACTTGGGTTTGTGAGCATACCAAAGGTTGGTTCCACCTTCACATTTACCGCGAGTTTTACAATTGGTTGCTCGAAACAATCTAAGATTATCTACCCAGAGTTTCAATGCATGAGAGCCTTAGTCGTTGATTCTAGGCAAGTTAGAGCCATTGTCTCTAAATACCATGTGCAAAGGCTTGGAATTCAAGTAGAAGTAGTTCCTTCTTTAGACCATGCTTTGTCTACTATAAGTATCGGGAATGCGATTTTCAGCATGGTCCTAGTTGAACAAGTTGTTTGGGATGCGGATTCAGCAGTTTCTTCTCTCTTTGTCAACAAATTAAGAAAACTTGACCAGCAACTTAGTTCAAAGCTATTCATCCTAGCAAACTCTGTTAACCATTCCAAAAAAAGAGACATGCTTGAGCTTCATGGGTTGAGTATAATCATGAAACCACTGAGGTCAAGTATGTTGGCTGCGTCTTTGCAAAGAGCCATAGGTGTGGGGAACAAGGGGAATCTTCGGAAGCTCTCTAGTTTGTCTCTTTCGGGATTACTTGCTGGAAGGAAGATTCTTGTTGTGGATGACAATTATGTGAACCTTAAGGTAGCTGCTGGTGCCTTGAAAAGATATGGAGCTGATGTGGTCTTGGCTGAGAGTGGCGAGAAGGCAATCTCTTTTCTCGAGCCTCCTCACACATTTGATGCCTGCTTCATGGACATCCAAATGCCTGCAATAGATGGGTAAGTGGGTCTTTCCTTTAATATGTTTATACTGCCTCCTTTCTTGGTCTTTGTTGATTTTATTTTACATGCAGCTTTGAAGCTACAAGAAGAATTAGGGAAATGGAAGATAACATCAATGACCGAATTCAGAATGGAGACGCATCAATTGAAGCATGTAGAAATATCTCAAATTGGCATGTACCTATATTGGCAATGACAGCTGATGTCATCCAAGCTACACAAGATGAATGCATTCGATGTGGGATGGATGGATATATTTCCAAACCGTTTGAAGGCGAGCATTTGTATCGGGAACTTTCGCGTTTTTTCACAAGTTCACCTCTGATGAAATGTATAGAGAACTTTTGAATGATTGGATAGCTCAATCAGAAGAATGGTTCCTTGGTCAGTTCGTAAACTGCTCAAATGGTTGTCATATTTCGCTCCTATATAGTGATTCTGGAACTTGAATGAAGGAACACTTTTTCATGCAAGCTTCCACTTATCGGCAAATATCTAACTAACCTCATCGGGTGATCCACAAAGCTCAAAAATCTTGCATGATCGTCATATCATTAAATAATAAATTATTTAATTTTATGGAGAAAAAACTGAACAGTGAAAACAAAATGAAACAAAGCAACAAATTAAAAAAAAAAAAAAAAGATAAACGACCTCGGTCAAAATCCATAATCTTCTTCTCTTCTCTCTTAACTAGCACTCCAAAAGGTCCAAGAACTCTTCTCCGCCACCATCAACAGCCGCTTGAGGAAACTTTCTAGTCACCGACAAGAGGGATAGGCAGTGGCGGATTCAGGAATTTTACATAGGTGTGTCATCTTTGAAAAAATAAAGTAAAATTAAATTAAAAATTAAATAAATTAAATAATTCTTAAATAAGAAAATTCCCAACTCGTACAAGTTTAAAATATCCATGATTTATTTTTGTATTCTAAAAAAATATAAAATACATTTGGTGTCTATACTGCTCAACAAATTTGTCTCGGTATATCCTACTAGACAATCATTCATAAACTAACGCATATTTGACTTCTAAATTTGTTCTTGATGTAACTCAAAACTGAAAAGACACTTTCAATACTTGTCGTACAAGCATAAAATCAATACAAATTAAGGGTAGCTTGTAAATAGATTAATTGTTAGGTTTTGAAAATAATTAAAGATAGAGAATAGGGTTTTGCATAACAAGTAGTGATTATCCTTATCCATCATTTTGGTTTCGAAAGAGAAAAAATTAGAATATGTGATCGAACCAAAAGTAAATAAAAATGGAGGGTTCAAATCACAAAGAAGCAAGTTTATTAGTTCGCTTTTGACCGATTCAAATGCAATTTTGATAGAAATTTCTTTCATATTTAAGATAATTTACAGGATCAACAGTGAGTCAAACTATATAGGGTACCATTCAATTAAATTTTGAGTGGACCGTGAACTAATCAAACAAACAATTTGAATCGAATCAAATAACCTAGATTGTCGTGAATAGGGGGTGAAACCATTACAATAATTTTGATTTTTTTCCATGGAAAAGAAGATATTAATTAAACGAGAAGAATATGTATAATTTTTTTCAATATCATCCTTATTAATTATATAATGATACTTCGCTCGTGACATTTCTCTAAATGTCAGACAAGCAACACTTGTATATGTCACCGTTACATGTCACAATCTATATGCTATGCTGACACTTCACTAGCTACACTTCTCTAAATGTCAGACAAGCAACTAAGCTATTGTGACATTTAGTTATGTGACTAGCTTATATCACAAATACTTCTTTATTTTGACACTTTTTAGTTGACACTTCTCTAAATGACAGAAAAACGTGTTTATTGTTGTGACAATTGAAGATGTCAACATTAAATGTCACAATATATATGCTATACTGACACTTTGCTCATGACACTTCTCTAAATGTCAGACAAGCAACTAAGCTATTGTGACGTTTGGTTACGTGACCAATTTATGTCAGCAATACTTCTATATTTTGACACTTTTTTAGTGACACTTTTCTAAATGACAGAAAAACGTGTTAATTGCCGTGACAATGGAAAATGTCAACGTTAAATGTCACAATATATATGGTATACTAACATTTCACTCGTGACATTTCTCTAAATGTCAGACAAACAACTAAACTACTGTGACATTTAGTTATGTTACCAACTTATGTCACAAATACTTCTCTATTTTGACACTCTTTTAGTGACACTTTTCTAAATGACAGAAAAACATATTTATTACTACGACAATCGAATATGTCAAAATTAAATGTCACAATAAATATATTATATTGACACTTACCATAAATGTCACAAAAACCTTCAAAGTGAATGGTTTTACTGACATTTTTTGAAACTGTCTTTAAAAACATGTCACTATAGTTGGTTTTTTTTGTAGTGGTAGTTCACATCAATCAATTTCCACCGTGAGCTTCCTTGCATGGATTGAAAAGGACTCCATGATAAAAAGAATATATTGACGAAAAACATAAACGTACGAAAAGACCCGGGATTCTGGGGGAGAGAAAATCATGCAATAAAGTTAAACATGTAGAATCTTAACCAGATTATGGTGTTTAATTACAGGTCGTATTGTAATAATCGGTACACAAACATACATGACCGTCGAAATTATATATGCACAATTTGCAATCGTTGGATGAAAGTGGTTGTAGTTTTGTAAATAAGATGTCATCGTGTCCATCCAACGACGATAGAGTTTCCACACTTGATTCGTTGGCTTCACACCCCTATGTTCATGTTTTCACTAGTGACGACAATTTCGAGCTGACCTGTTTACGCAACTTGTTTTGTGGGATGGGTAACACCCGCACCAACGCAGGGGCAGGGAAACCATGATACTATCCTCTACTTGACTCGCCCTGCCTGATATGCCTCATTTCTGACCTGTTTTTGCCTCAATTACATGTAATTCTTATGATTTTTAATTGCATCGCCCAATATTTTAGCTATAATAAAATTGTAATAGGCGAGAACCTCAATTTCTTGAATAATTTAGCTGCACTTGTCACGAGACAGAAATGAACATCGAAGTATCTTACCCGAACTACTCATTGCCATTAATCCTAGTTGTCACGAATGTGCTGTGAACCTTTTGACAAAATTGATTGAATCTAATCAATATAAAAGGAAAGCAAAGGAATTTATTGGTCGTTTCTGTGTTTATTATTTGAAAGACCCGAAAAAGACTCGTTTTTGTTTTCTTCGATCTGTAGTAAGTAAGGATTGCCGGATTGACTGTTAGACTTAAATATTTCTCACGCTTTAGTCTTGAGTCTTGTAACTAGTAACTATTCCACAAGCGAATCTTTGTTGGAAATTAACTATTTTAATTTCCAAGTTGGAGATTGCAATGTGCAAAGTAATTGCTAGTCCATATCAAACAAAAATATATTATTTATAGTTAATGACATATATATGTCGACTTCCCGTAACAACTTATGTTGGGATGTGGAGTGGGTCAAATTACCCAATGGGGTTAAGGATTATAATCTTTCAAAATTATAGAATTATTGGGGTTGAATTGAATTGAAATGTGGTTCTTGACTTTGAATTCCTAGTAGAATATTTGACAAATCGCACTTACATACAATAAATACTTAGAAAATTTCATTGACCAAGTGATGGCGTCGAGAAAGGTGTTAACGATGAAGTAGTGATGTTTTGATTTCGGTATCGTAGGGTTCGAATGTAATGTCACTTTTTTTATAAACATTTTGGTTGTATATCTATTAATGCCATAAGGGTGTGATAGTTTAAAAGGAAAAAGCATCATAAAATGTAGCGCTTTCCTCTTATCTATTTTTGAAATTTTGGCAACTATGGATTTCACTTTATTTGATTAAGTTATTTTAAGGTATGAGATATTTTGTGGTATATATATTAAGGTATAAGTTATTGACTAAAAAATTCCATAATTTTTTTTACGTTATTTATGGAGCATTACAATTTCACCGAGGGTAAATAGTCATTATTCTCTCCTTAAAATATCTATAAGTGTCCAAACAAAAACAGTTATTAATTATTTATATACTTCTTAGCGGTGACCGATGGTGGTACACATCGACCATTGATTTCACACTGTTGAGTTGAGATGAAAGAGATGAGTTTAAAGATTAAAGTTAAGTAGAGAGAAGAGAAACTAATTACTTACAATCAACGGTAAGGAAGAGGGCAAGCAACAAAGAGATGAGTTTGAAGAATATTTTCTCTATTTGATATTCTAGTATTTTTTTATGCAATTCAGATAATGAAGTGGTCTGAGATTTGTATCTATTTGGATATGTAAACGATTTCTCATGTTAAAATCTCCTCCTATTTATAGGACAACATGATAAGGAGGTGAGTATCTTTTTGTTATATGATTGGACTTTGCTACGGTGACTTGCAAGTCACCGTGACTTGGACAAAACGGTCGACATGTTCATTGATATGGTCGATCTATTTAGACAAAATGGTCGACCTCTTCACTGATATGGTCGACCTAATTGTTGGAATGGTCGACCAAATGTACTATTTTTCATTTTACTATGTTAAACAAACGGTCAACCTCTTCCACTAAAAGGTCGTCCACTATACAAAAAAATGGTCTACCACTTCCATCAAGTGATTTACATATTTCCCCAAGCGGTCCACCTCTTTCAATAATTGATCCATTTGATGAACCATTGCTAGTAATATCATCATATATAATTAGAGTCCATTAACAATAGATATGCTTGCTAGTAAGATATTTAAAATTAGTACAAAGGCTGCAAGCATAGATAAAAAGTTTCTCGAATGATTGTTCTCTCGTAAATTTGAAAAATGTTTCGTATTTATTTCTTATATTTGACTTACTTTATAGAGACTTTCATCTTTCTTAAAATTCAAAGTTTTTTTGTTTCTATCCTAAAGTTGTCTTGTGATGGATCAACTTTGTTGCTATTGTTGTTATGAAGATGCTCAAAAAGTAGAGTATATTTGTTATACAATTGTGTCATCTTCAACATCCATAAATCTCATATCATCACTTTTGTAGATTTTTATTCCAGAAGAGTTAAAAGAGGGTGTTTCTGTCTGTCTTGCCTTACGTAGGGATTTGGTTGCCCACAGATGATAGGATGTTGCATTACTACAAAAACAATTTTGTATTTTTGGTCCCTAGTGTCCATTATGTTCCTAATGTAAGTATAAGGTAATTGTGTCATCTAGTAGACCATAGGCCGAAAGTGGAGATCGTTCACCGAAAGAGGTACGTAAACCATTTTGCAAAATCGGTAGACGGTTTTGGCGGAAGTGGTCTACCTCCTCCAACAAGCAGTTATAAGTTGAATGTAAGTGTGTCACAGGTTGACCCATTGCCAGAAGAGGTAGACTGGTTGCCTCGAGTTGTAGACCGCTTGGTAGAAGTGGTAAATAATTTTCTTGTAAAGTGGTCGACCACTTAAAGGTAATTGTGTCATCAGATCGACCCATTTCCGGAAGTGGTTGACTGTTTGACTCAAGTGGCAGACCAATTGGTGGAAGATGTCGACCATTTTTTTGAAAAGTGGTTGCCCACTTGGTGGAAGAGGTTGACCACTTGAAGGTAAGTGTGTCATCAGGTCGAGCCATTTCCGGAAGTGGTAGACCACTTGAAGGTAATTGTGTCATCAGACTCGTGTTTATGGTGAATTGGTGGGGTTCTCATTTGTCAATGAATGATAATGATTGCGATATTTCGTTTATGGCATTTTGCTGATCCGACTGAATCCCTAGTGCGGATAAAAGGCAATTTGACCTAATGTCTCGTCTTACAAAATGCGATTCATTCATATTATTTATTCCTTTGTCGATTTCAATTGATGCAAAATGGGGTGATTTAAATTGTCCTTTGTCATCAATTGATGAATCATCATTTCTGTGTTGTGCATAGTGCAAGAATGAGTGCTTAAACTTATGCTTAGACAAGTTTAGCCGCTAGGCAAACACAAGAATGCCATGTTCATAACTTGAAGGCGGCGGAGTACGACGAAGAATCTAATGGGCTGTTTGGAGAATATGAGTTTAAATCTATAGATTGTCAACAATCTAAAGATTCTAACTCTCTGGATTGTTGAAAACCGATTTGAAAAATGTTTATTGTTTTGTAACGATGATCGTTATCATTCAATGAAAATAAAAAATTTTAATTTTATATTAAATAACACGTTCGTCCTTAATAAACTTACCGACTTGAAATTTTTATAAATTTTGATTGAAATTTAGGGAACATTACAATTTCAATGTTACGAGAACTATTTATTTATTTGTTCCATTAAACTACCCCAACAAAAATAGATTAACACCCATCATGGACATCAAGTATCAATTATTCATAATTTCATATGCCTCTTGGCGGTGGTGACGGGAACATACTTATCAGTTGACATTGACCCATGACACATTTACATTGAATTTCAGGAATGGTTATTTTTGGGCAGAAGTCCTTGCAGTCCTCAACGGTTTTGCATGGATGAGTTGACAAATTGTCTCTAGATCCCCTCACTTCCACTCCTCTATCTGCAAAAAAAAAAAAAAAAAAAAAAAATTATTAGTGATGTATACTCAAAGTTGAAACCATATTCATTTATCAAGATATTATCATGATTATTTTTGCTAATTAAATATGACTAAGAAGAAAAATTAATCAATTACAATGAGCGACAAGAAGGAGGGCAAGCAGTAAAGAGCAGAGTTTGATGGATGTTTTCTCCATTTGATGTTCTTGTTTTTTTGTTGATGCACTTCAAAAAAATGAAGAGGCCAGAGATTTGTATCTTCGAGTATTGGAATATGAGGATGATTTGTCATAGTAAAAAATATTTATAAGCCAAGACGACAAGTTGGTGGGTATTTTTTTTTAGTTGCGTGATTAATTATCTTCCTTAAAGTAGGTGTTAAATACAATATTCCAATTAATATTGAGATATGTTTCCATGTATATTCCAATTAATTTAAAATTTTAAGTTAGGAAATTTTTTGGGGATAAACTTTATTTAGGATTTCTTTGCATGATATTTGAACTATAAACAAACAAGTTTCATTAAAAATTTAACTCGTATTTTATTTTTATTACCCAGGAACCTCAGCCCCACGTGTCACTCTGTGACAGCGGGTCCTACTAAATCTGGGGGCCACCTGCAATCAAATTCGACGCCAACGGGGCTTTACCCCCAACAGCCTTGTACCTCCGGGAACACCAACAGACCTTGTTTGAATTCGAACCTAGGATCTGAAACTTCCAAACCTTCACTGTCGCGATAATTTTATCGTTAAACTATCTTATCTTTGGTACAATATCATGCACGTTCTATAACCATGATACAATCTTATTCAAATATACTGAAATAGATTTTAAATATTTTAACAATAGTTATATTTTGGAATAGTATCAAGATATCGAGACTCACATCAAGTGCTGAGAAATTGGGCCTTTTGGATTTGAAAAAGCCCATACCCAAAATCCGTTAAACCCAATTCGCCCAACTAACTTCATTCACGCGCCAATTTCGCTATGTTCACGCGCACCCAACGGTCTTCAGTTCACTCTTCACTCCCCAGCTCGCCGAGATCCCCAAACTCCGAGTCCGAACGGCCTCTCCACAATCGCCGGTTCATGTCGAGCTCCTCCTCCTCCGCCGCCGCCGCCGACAGCGCATCGCCGGACCCTCCGCCAATCCTAATCCCCGGACTTCCGGACGACGTCTCTCTGAACATCCTAGCTCGCGTCCCGCGCTCCCACCACCCGTTCCTCTCCCTCGTCTCCAATCCCTTCCGCTCCCTCCTCTCGTCGCCGCTCTTCTACGCCGCCCGCTCGACCTCCCACTCGGCGGAGCCTTTTCTCTACCTCTGCGTCCGCATTGCCGGATCGATTTCGGTCAATTGGTTCACGCTCTGCTGCAACTCCTCAAACCCTAGAAATGCTCGGAGAATCCTCGTCCCTCTCCCGCCGCCTCCTTCGGCACTCGTCGGCTCCGCTTACGTCGCCGTCGGACCCAAGATCTACGCGATCGGCGGGTCGATCGAGGACGTCGCGTCCCCGCACGCGTGGTCGCTCGACTGCCGGTTCCGCACGTGGGAGGCTCTCCCCAATATGCACATTTCGCGGGAGTTCCCCGCGGCGGGCGCGGTGGACGGGAAGATCTACGTGATCGGCGGGTCGGTAGTGGATACGTGGTCTCGGTCGAGGAATTGGGCGGAGGTTTTCGATCCGGCGACGGGGAAATGGGAATCGGTAGAGAGTCCGGGGGAGGAATTGCTGCGGGCGAAATGGATGCACGCAAGTGCAGTGATCGACGGCAGAATTTACGCTATGGCGGATCGGAACGGCGTGGTTTATGAGCCGAGGAGTGGGAAATGGAGGAGCGTGGAGAAGAGGCTGGATTTAGGGTGGAGGGGAAGGGCTTGTGTGGTTGATGGGATATTGTATTGCTATGATTACTTGGGGAAGATTCAGGGGTTTGATGCAGGGGAAGGTGTTTGGAAGGAGCTGAAAGGGTTGGAGAAGAAGCTGCCGAAGTTTCTTTGTGGAGCGACAATGGCGAATGTGGGAGGGAAGCTGGTGGTGGTTTGGGAAGGGAAAGGAGAAGGTGGTGGTGGGCAGAAGAGGAAGGAGATGGAGATTTGGTGCGCTGAGATTGAGTTGGAGAAGAAAGGCGGAGGAAAGGAGTTGTGGGGGAATGTGAATTGGTGTGATGTTGTTCATAAGGTTCCTAATGGGTCTTCAATTGTTCATTGCCTGGATGTTACATTTTGATCTCTCAGGCTTCTGCAATGGTATGACGAATCAGGTATGGCTTTTTTTCAATCTGAAATTGTATGTTACAGCTACTTATCTGAAATTGATTGAATACAGGCTCTTTCGGCGAACCTTACTAGTAGATGTGTGCTGGTCATTGAGAAAGAAATGGTGAAAGTGAATGTTCTAGCTCTTAATTTGCAGCTCATTATCTCCAATGATGGTTTGTTTAGGATAGTGAATGATGGGAAATCAAAAAGATTGTAGCTTTAGGTTGTCTATGTCTTTGTTGTCTAGCCGAAAGCATGAAGAGATGGCTCTCTGCACCAAAAATGTTACTAAAGGCACTTGTCTGGAAATAGATTCTGCAAGAGTAGGACATGTATTTGAATAAAGGTGTAGCTAGTCTTTTGAGGGCTTGGAAATGACAGACTCAGAGTAGATGAACTACTGGAAAGCATTTGAAATGCAGCTTGATTAGCAAACTCTTTCAGTTCACAGCTAGTTCTGTATAGGATTAAAGCGATCATACGCATTAAACACCTCGAAGTTATCTATGATTGCCATTGTTTCATACTTCTAAGTATCAAGATAACTGGGTTTCTTTCTGAAGTGTTCCTTTCTATGTTGCTTCGCAGAACCAAGATGAATATATGTGATATCTTTGCTCTATCATCTTCTGAGATTAACATCTCGCCATAATCCCAGGCCCTGCCAGCCACGGGGAATAAGGCGCGTACCAAGCTGTGATCTCTGTTCTGTACTATTCAAAACCGGTTGAGCTATGAACCAGACTGCTGTAACTGTAAATGTGGGTAGTAATGATCCTGTTGTAATTGTCGAGTTATTATTATCATTGTAAACAATGCTGGAGGGAATGGACCCATGATGTTGTAGAGTGTCCTGTTACTGTAATTTGCGAGGTTCTTATTATCAAGGTACTCACCCAACCTCGATTCATTGTCATTAATCCTTGTAAGAACATCAGCCACCTGAGTACTCTTTGAAATAAGCAGTGTAGATAGCATAGCAGAAATGGTGATTCTGATTGCACAACTCCACACACCATTATTGGAGTCATGGAGATCTATTGAAGATCCATCATATACTAGAAAGTGGAAATATTATCTCTTTGATCTCATATATTTACTGTGTTGCCAGTAAGATGCTAATGGGGAAGCCATTGTACTCCACTATATTTCACTTTACATTCAAATATGTTTACATTATCACCAGGTGAGTGCTCACAAATTTAATATATAATGTGTGGGTGATTGTCATTCCTAGGTTCGATTATTGGTGTGTTTAACTAGTGGTCACATATCGCTACAAATATGGTCCTGAATTTGTTTGTAACAGTAAGCTCAATCAATCCTCTTAGTACGCTCAATCAAGTAGCATGTGCTCGCCTAACTACATGCTTCGTCCTCGGTGTCCTTAACTCAATTAGTTTTTCAGCCTCAAACAATCGAGATTCAACCCTTAGAGTGTTTTAACTAGTGGTCACATATCTATACAGCGATCGTCCCTAATCGGTCGTGCATTTGTGATGAATGACTAACAAACTCGTCAATTAGTGTGCGTTAGCATCGGGTCTTACTAGTGGTACTCCAACAATCATGTAGGAAATTTTACTCTTGTACAGTTGTACTTCCCCTTGTACTCCTCTCCCAGCCAAAGTTTACTGACTGTGTTTCCCACCAACTTTCATTGATCATTCTCTTCATAAGTATTAACTAATAATAATATGATTAAGCACTAAGAATCATTCCTGCATAAGCAAATCTGGCAAAAGCATGCACCCAAAAAGGATGGAGGTGAAAACTTTTCACTTTTTATCGTCTTGTCTCTTGGGTTATGTTCGATTAAAGAATGGCAAAAGTGGAACTCCCCATTTTGTGCTCTAAACATTGGTTACTCTACCAAAAGCTAAAAAGAAAAGGACGATCGAGAAGGCAAAAGGAAGCATTAATCGCTAATGCTAAATCTTTAACATTCTCATCATGACCATTGACCACAGGGGATGCCGACTGATCCTAATTTATTTGCCTCAATGGTTTTACTAGTTACTCCCCCAATGCATAAGATAGTGTCGTCTATCTCTTTGGTACAAACTCGTCGTTCAATATTGAGTCTGTTCGTTGATGATGACAGTATTGGAAGTTGTTCAACCCATGCCTCTTGTAGCATTTTAATATCTTGTAACCCTCTTTTCTTGGCGTTTTACCACCTCCTTTGAATAATAGAAAAAAAGCACAACAAATCATTGACAAATGATCCATCGCGGTGAATATTCTCGAACATACTTCTTGATGATAGGGGATGAGGCCGCTGGATGAACGCGATAACAATTTCGTAAATAAATCGTCATAGTTTCCATCCAACGGCCAACAAAGCGCCCCAACATACGTCTGGCGACTGAACCATCTAGTGCGCATGTTCTCAATCACAAAACACCATGTGAGCATCATAGTCGGGTTGAACCAATTTTGTTATAATTAATCTTCATCGACGACAGAACATTCTGGGAACGTGTTCTCACAGGCGCCATGCGAGCACCATAACAGGGTTGAATCATTGTTGCTATAGATCATCAAGCCGAGTAAACTACATTAATTGAGTACTTAAGCAATGGAGTGCGGTATTCATGGAAGGCCACACATTTTTTGGTCCCACTTCCCTTTCTTTTTTCGTAATAAAACTCTAAATATTCCAATTTGCCACGGAAGGAAAAAAATAAAAATTAAGTTTCATGCAAACATCAATTTTTTTTTTTTGGCCAAGTTGGGTGTTCTTTCGGAACTTCTATACTGTATTGTTGCTGGTACGAATCAGACTAAAGCTTAAAGGGGGCAAAGGAGAAGTCACAAATTAACTAAAGAGGGAGAAGATAATGAAAATGAATGATAATGATGGATGGAGTATAAATATTAACACCTAACCTTAATTGCTTAGTTATTAGTTATATTTATTTTTTACATATATAACCATTACTGTTTTGTATTTTTATATAGCATATTCGACTATAAATAGTTGTTGTCCCAATTCAATTCCCAGAGGCCAATTTATATATTCATTTATTAATTAATATTGAAGATTACACGCCAATATAGACTACAGTTATGGGTCACCTTTCTATTTGATCATATGCAAATCTTTTTTTTCTATGTGAAGGCTTAAACCATACACATATTACATTTATATCTCTTTCAAATTATTTAAAAGCTTAAGCAAATGTACCAATGTACCATGTACGATAGTACCTTGTCTCAAGCTATTCTAAAGGAATTATATAGGACTTATTGTTAGATTTCTCTTGAAAATTTGAGCTATTAACATCAAACATTAGTTTATGCCATGGTATACATCAGATTGTTAATAACCAAGTTAAATTATTTAAATAAGACTAAAGAAGGATGCCTCAGTATAGTATCGAGGAGACGGGGACAAATCAAAACGATGTTTATTGCATATAATTAATTTGAGGGAATTTATATATGAAAAGTGATTTCAAACCTTCTTAATGCTAGCTAGGATTGTGGTAGAAATTTCATGATTACATATGAAATTTTAAAACCGATAAAAGAAATTTATATTCACAAAGAATAAGGTACAAAAAATGTACACCCATCACTCAAATACAAAATGTACACCCATCACTCAAAAAAGAGCCATAGTCCATAAAGGATTTTTTTTTTTATTCCATACATTATGGAGAACAAGAAGTAGTTCTAAGTGCACTATTTCAAGTCAACTCCACTATAAATACTTTTCCAAAGTCACTTAAATTTCTCACAAATCCAACTTCATCGAGGTACTTCCTTTAGGGACCCTATATTGCCATATGCCAAAGGCAAACAATTGCATCCTTATACAATGATACGATATATGTAGTGATAATGAGTGGTCGGCAAAGCAACAAAAAGAGGAATAATGAAAGAAAATGATAGAAGACTCTCTAAAATATATCCCTCTATCAATTCTAGGGTGACTATATGGTCCGGTCCGGTTAAATTGGCCTGAATTGATTCAGTCTCGGTTCGGTTTTTTCGAGAATATAAGGACCAAAAATTGAATTGGATTGGATATAGTCTGGTCTCAATTCGGTCTTGATTTTAGATTGAGCTTGTGGAAATTTAAGTGTACTGAGGGGGGATTTGAGTGGCCTAAGACCTGAAAGGGTGAGTAGGTTAAATTTTGGGTGTTGGGCTCTCTTATCCAATTTTTGGTCCGGTCCCAAACGGTTTTTTTTTACCTCAAATCTAGACCCGAAGATTGGATTTGATTGTTTGGTATCCGGTCCCGATCCAATCTCAATCAGGATTATACGATCCGATTTCGAATAAAACCAAATAGCCCGCCCTAATCAATACCCCTCCCCAAACCATACACTACTCCACGTACACACACTCGCATACAAAAATAATAAAGAAATTCCTACACAATAGCGAAGCCATAATTTATAGTAAGAGTCGAGTAAGAAAATAATTATGATAATTTAATAGAATCGAACTAGAGTACTGTTAGATGAGTTACAAAATCAGATACTATCCTACCACTTTTTAATGTCTGATTACCGTATGATCAAACATTTTATAACCTAAAATCTAATATTAAGAGGTAAAATACAGTCTAAACTCTAAACTACATGTTGCTCCATATTTATTCCCAAACAAATAAAACCTAAATGCCCCCACCATGCTTTCCTTTGCCCCCCTCCATTCCACCTCAAATTATTTCTTATAATCTAATGAATAACCCTCCATGTACACTAGCAAACCAATCCCAAATCAATCACACCATTAATTTACTTTTATATAATAAAAAAAATTGTCCTTTCAAAAGCATCAAACCATTAAACATGATCAAGCTATGCTTGACCCCCCAAAAAAACACAACATAAAAAATGAAGCAACACCCCAACTTGTGTGGAAGAAATATTTGTGCCCTTTCCACCCACTCCCCTCTCCAATATATATAATCTAATCTCTCCAATTGGTTTGGCCACCATCATTCCTCACCAACCTTGGCCTTCCTTCCTAACCCAAAACAAAAAAACAAAACCCAAAAACCCACAAGCTCCATTTTCTCTCTTCCAACACAAATTCAAGGTGGGAAGAAATTTAATTAGTGAAACCATGCAAGAGAAGATCATGAAGGTGAAGAAAGGGTGGCTAGCGGTTCAAGTTGGTTTGGGAGAAGGTTACGATTCATCGAGGAGATTTGTGATCCCAATCTCCTACCTCTACCATCCACTTTTGAAGAATCTTTTGGACAAGGCCCATGAAGTGTTTGGGTACCACGCCGCCGGCCCACTGAGGCTCCCTTGCTCGGTGGACGATTTCCTCCACCTCCGGTGGGAGATTGAGAAGGAACAGGCGGATCACGGCCATAGCCACCGCCACCATCTCCACCGTGGCGGCGGCAGCAGCCACCACCACCACCACCATCATCTTATAACGACGGCGTTTTCGTTTCACTCTTGTTAACAAGAGTTTCTTGTTTCTAAGTATATGTAATGTAAAAAAAAAAAACATATAGCTTAATTAGGCCATTGTATTACCCTGAATGGTCTCTCTCCCTTTGTATTGTGATTTGATATATCATGTTGGGTTACTTACTGGACCCGGTTTTTATTGTTCGATAAGTCTCGTGTTCAAGCGGAAGTAAAACCTAGATGATTGGTATCGGTCGGAATTATGAATATTTTTCAACAAACTTAAATTATCGGGATAATTTAGCTAGTTCCTGTTGACAACGACGTCGATTTCTCGGCAATACAAAAATAAACACGAGATCCTAGGGAGTGATATACAGAGTGGAAACTCGGAGTCACAAGGACATACTCGATCTGGTTGCGGTCCAGGTTTACTTTCAGAAACAAGTGTGCATTGGTGAGACATGTAAGGTTTGATTCTCCGCTATATTAGGTACGGGAATTTGGTTCTGGTTGAATGGTTTTACTTGAATCATATTTTACGATATCAGATTGTTGGGTATGTTTGTTGTGATTTGTGTTGAAATCCAAATAATCTTTACCCGGAGTCTCGTGGTGGAGGTTTGTTCTCGACCACATTGTTAATCAAGTCGATCATAAGATTGGTGAGACCAAATTCGCAGGTCATGTATCCCTTAAAACTAGTATGTCATGAACACAATCTTATGGATTGGGTCATCCCAATCATGATTTAGGTTTCAGGGTTAACTATCGATGGATAACTTTTATTCACATTCATACTTCTTTGCTATCGTCGTTTTTATGTTCATGTTTCCTGCTTCTGGAGTATTCAATGTCTTTTGTCAAAGTTACGGATAAAAATACTTGATAACGCTTTGATGGCTTTGATCTAATGTGATCCTCCTAATTTGTGATAAATTTTGTAGTCTACCGTAAATCCAAACCAAACTCCAAACAACATTAACTTGCGCTTTGATATTAGTCATCGTTGCAAGCTCCTGTCTTTATCGTTATTATAACTTAACTAATCTTCACCTATAATTTGAACTACATTGAAAAGAGTTACTTTCGTATTCATCCAGTCTATTCAGTAGTAGAAGAAAATACCCATCTCTCTACGTGTAATTTCCAGATCCATTAATCGAGCAAAAAAGAACAGTACTAATAGTCTAATACACATGAGAGGATGATGTGTTCTTGAAATCGACCCCCTTAATTAACCCATTTGAATTGATAGAATTACTGTAGAAAATGCTGACTCTCACGCGAAATTAAGATAGAAATTCATGTGGACAGCTTATTCAATATTCATAATCTTGTCGGGGCAACTTTTTTTTTTTGAAAAACATAGCGCAGGGAGACGCTCTAGTCCTTGTATATTAATAGATCGGGGCATCTGAATCCCAACAAGATCATACATCAGCCAATAACCCAAGCATGAACTCGGAGTGCATGTCAAACAGGTGCACTGGCCAACATGTAACAAATGGCCAACAAAAGCCATATAGTCCGCGACATAATTACCCTCCCGGAAGACATGCTTGATACTAACCTCCCAATCTCTAGCCACAAGCCTACGGATGAGAGAGATCATAGTGTGATGGGGGTGAGTGGTCTGGTCCGAATGCAAAAGTGAAATAGCTGCCGCCGAATCCGTTTGGAGCCTGACTCTCCGAGCCCCCAACTCCCATGCACTTTGCAATCCTTGGGCGATCCATGCGAGCAATGCAGTCAAAAGCGCGATTTTATCTAGAAACGGAAAAGGGGTAAAATCGTAAAGCGTAGAATTAAAGCGTAAAACCGTAAGTTTTTTACGCATGTTCTAAAATAACTAAGAAACTGTTAAGTACGACATATACTATGTAAAATATGAGTGCACACAATTTAGAAAAGTTAATAAGCACCAACAATTCATACCTAAAGTAGAATCTAATAGCCTCTTAATAATAAGTTCATAAACATAAATCTTAACAACAAGTCACCTTCCCCTCTATGCTAATGAATTTGGGAAGAGCCTAGCTATAACTGGTGAATTAGATTACTCTATTGAAGCTGAAATGCGTCCAAGTACCTGTTATGTATCTTTTAATCTCAAATGTATCATATTGTTGGTAATTTACCATTAAAATATACTTTTTATAATTAATGTCATGAAAATAATACCCATTTAGTGAATTAGAAGCGTAAAGCGTTTTAGTGAACTAGAAGCGTAAAAGCGTAAGCTTTTAAGCTTTAAAACGTAATTTAGTCCGATTTTGTACACTAAAGTTTTTATATGGAAACGAAAGCGTTTTGGTGACCTAGTAGCGTAAAACCGTAAGTTTTTAAGTTTTAAATCGCGATTTTAACTGCATTGCATGCGAGCTCTGCGTGAGTGATCGATCCTCCTCCCAAATTAACGGAAAAGGCCTTCATAAACCGGCCATCGCTGTCTCGAATAACTCCACCAGCCGTCGAAATTCCTAGAACCGGAACCACCGAGCCATCGGTGTTGACAGCAGTCCAGCCCGGAGGGGGGCACTGTCAGCTAACCATGTGGGTGACCTGCTTCCTGCCTCCTCCTACAATTCCTTGAGCTTTGACAAAAGCTGCCGCAAACTACTCACACAAACTCCTAGCTCGTAAAGCTAGTACTTCCATCGAGGATATCATTCCTCAAAGACCCAATCATTTCTGTTCTTCCACAAGCTCCAGCATATAGTACCGAAGAGGGAAGCGTCGAGAACCTTACCGCGGCCACTAGGGTAGCGCAGGAACCGGGTCTTACTATCCGGCTCAAAGAAGTCCGAGTCCGGTTCATCTTGTAGCACCAACGGCCAAACTTCTCTTGCATAGGGACAATCACGAACGACATGAAGGACCGTTTCGGGACTTCCTCCACAGACTGGGCAATGATCTGATTGAGTTAGTTGTAGTCGGGATCGTTCCTTGTTCGTGAGTAGTCGACCATGCAAGGTCAACCAAAGGAAGGTCTTCGTGCGTTGGGGTCCCGAAAATCTCCAAGCCTTCTTCCAGATAGGATGAGTTTGCCCATGAACGTCGCCCTCCTTAATTAGTTAACTCGTAGGCTGTCTTCAAAGTGAACTTCCCCGACTCTGAAAATCGCCAAACCGGAGTATCGGGGGTTCGCTCTCCACCAGGACCGGGTGCAAGAACAACATGGCAACAACCTCCTCGGGTAGGAAAGATCGAATGAAGGGCAGGAAAAGATCGAATTAAATACTATAAGATCTATTATTAAATCTAACACAACAACTTGAGTTATTGATGCTAAACGGTCTTGACAAAGAACATCATTCAAAAACAAATGTCTAACTAAATAATAAATAATGGTTCGATACATATGAAATGATATTCTTGATAGTTTCGACATTTATTTAATTTACCATGTTTTTCTAAGTATAAAATTATATTATGAATGATTTAGAAAGCTAATAAAATTAATTTATCGTAAGTAATTTTTTTCTAAATGTACCCACTCTCGACAAAATTCTGCCTACGTTGTTGTGGATATGGTTATGGATGTGATTGTGAAATAGAGTGTACGCATTTTGTTGCTTGGAAGTAAGGGAAAAGGGGAAAAAAAACAAAATAAGAGAATAAACGGTCAATTTGTAATAGGTAGGGAGTTAAAGGATCAATTTGTAATTAGCCACCGTCTCCTTCCCCTTCATTTTATCATCTCCGTTTCTTTTATTTTCTGTCGGAATCGATCCATTTCCGGGTCGGACGGACCATTACCGAAGAATCCATGGAAGTACTCGAAAGCGTGCAGCAGCTGGAAGATTAATGAATGAATCCCATAACTCTCTATGCCGCCGGAGTTTTCGCCGGCCGATGTAAAAAATCAATTTTTCAGCACAGTAGGAAAGGTCAGTGGCCACTGGCGAAGCTCATAATTCTCCGTATCGTTTTCTGTATTTTTTGTGTGATTGTTTTGTATATTTTCCCGCTATTTTTCGCTTATCCTGCGGAATTTATGTCAGCCTTCGTGTTAATATATCGCCGGAAACCAATATATCGTAAATTCTCGCGAAATATTAGCGTATCGTGATATCTCGGCAATTTCAATTTCTCGTCAATTTCTCGCGTTTCGATTTTGGTTTTGGGAACACGATACGTTTCGCGTTTCGGCGTTTCTCCCGTGTATTTTTCTCTTCCTTCCAGCCGTTTCTGCAGCTTCCGGCTTAGGGACAGGACTGGCCGTAGTTGGGCCCGTCCAAACAGGCCCGAATCCGGCAGCAGAGTAAAAAGCCAAGTTTGGGCTTGCTTACCGTTGCCTGGCTGACCCAAAGTTATCTGGTGCGACCGGCCCTTTTGGCCCTTCCAGATTATTGGGCCATAGGCACCTGCTTCAGAGGAACGTCGAAACCCATTAAAACAACTCAGAAACGCTGGGGGCAGGTCGAAACGCGAAACGTTTCGGGTTCTCAAAACCAAAATCGAAACGCGATAAATTGACGAGAAATTGAAATTGCCGAGAAATCGCGATATGTTTAAATATCGCGATATTTTACGATATATTGACCGATACAATACTTCCCGGCGATATGTTGGCCGTCCAGTAACTTCAGTACCCATAAACTTCTCCGGTGAAGCGACCATCTCCGTTCTTTCCATCCCTCCCGCCGATCCAACAGAAACGGTGATGATTTCGAGCCTGATTCACCTCCCTATTCCCTTCGATTCACTAATTAACTGAAAGATTCCGAGATTTTTTTGCTGTCTGAAAATGGCCTGCGAATGAGATTTCCCCCCCTCCTGCATTCTGAACCTCCTCAAAAGTAGTAGATGGAAAGTTGGAAGCTTTGATCCGTCCTGTGTATCTCTTATTTGTCTTTCTCATTGGTTTGTGGCAGACATGTTCATCAGAAAAGTTAGGATGACAAATTGCCATCATGCTGATCTAACTAACCCAAGTGACCATTTTGTTACGTTCTAAAGTTTAGTGACCGTTTTGTTACATTTCACATAGTTTAGTGACCCATTAAGTACCTGCACCCAGTTGTATTAATGGTGAGGTTTTGGGGATTTCAGCAGGATCATTATTATAAGTAAAAAGACAGAATCATTTATACACATTTGCATTTCCAGCCAAGAAAAGAACATTTAGGTTCAAGCACGGACCGGTTGGACCACACACAAAACTCAACCAAGCCACCCTCTTCCTCGGTACATATATATAAACACAAACGATTACAAACTCAAAAGTACAGAAGAATAGAGTTCATATCAGCCAGTGACATCACTCGCCAGCCCGTCACCGAACATATACAAATCAACCGAGCAAATTACATGAAGCAGGAACACGTGGATTCGCGAGCAAGACTTTCCCGACAAGACTGAACAAGTGACTGCAAGATGTTCTGATAAATAGCAGATGCTGAACGTTGCCATTGAATGGTGGCCTTTTGTCAAGCTTCCATTCTAGCCTCGCTATCTTCGTGTTTGAGTAAGTTCTCTATTTGTTCCAGTGCCTGAAACAAAATGGTCAATTTTGCAACAGAGTTTGTTACGATGCATGAGAAAGAGCGTGTGTGTGAGAGAGAGAGAGAGACCTCAATGGCAATTGTTGCAGGTGTTAGACCCAACACGTCTTTGTGTCCCAGTTTTGCAGCAATATCTGACAAAGAACAGACCGTTTGATGATCATTTAGTACACAAACTTGTAGGAAGTTGGTATCAGACAGTTAACAGTGCACATACTTTCAAAGGAAACCTTTACTGTGGCATTCTCATAAGCTTCACTTCTCTCTTCAAAAAGGGAAGACAGACGTCTCAGAGCCTGCAGGGAGCATTTCGTGAGGGAAAAGATATGAAACAAACCCTCAACATTCACTATACCAAACAAGCCTGACAGGTTGTGTTAGCGATACAATCTGCTGATTGATAACAGGGTACCTTTGTGTATTCATCGCCGGTTTCTTCATGGAGAAGGGGTCGAGAATTAGTCCCCACTGCAGCAATCCTCTGTGCCAATGCCTCCAAAGGCACGTCCAACCAAACACTAATTCCCTTGTGCATGTATTTCCTGAAAGACGAGAAGAAAGAAAATTGAGTTGAGTGGCCAAAGGCACATGAGATAGTACAGGGGAAAAGGAAAGACATGCTGCTTTCTTTTTCTACTCATCACACCAATTGATGGGCCGTATAACTGCGCCTCCACCAGTAGAAACAACAAACCGATTCCTTAGAGACAACTCCCTTAATGCCTCAGTCTGCAAGATAGGAACATAATTCTTTTTTACTATTTTGAAGACAAAAAGGCAGGCAAGTATAACCTATACATCTGAAGAGCATGCATCAGTGGATCTCCATTCCACTTAAAAGAAGGCACAGACCATTAAACATGAAACACTGTTGGAATTCATTGTAACTGCATTTATAAATGGAGAGCATCATTTGAACTCTACCTCTTTATCTCTGAAGAAACATTCACCATATAGGTTAAATATTTCAGCTACTGATGCACCATCAACGGACTCTTCGACCAATGCATCACTACAACAAAAACCAAAAAGATATAGAAATTCTGCGAGTATACACAAGGGCTGATTTATTTAGCAGCAAATGCGAAGTGAATAATCTGGAGAAGAGAAAGGAACATCTTTTACAAGGAAACACCACTTTCAGTGAGAAGATCTATAAACCTGAGGTTAATGCTAGATGACATAAGCATTCCTGACTGAAAAAGAACCTATTAGGGACATGGACATTCACAATTCTGCACTTTAGTAATTATCTCTTATATATGCCTCAAATTCATATTATAATCCCCAAGTACAGACCTGTCACAGAATGAGTACCCAAGTACTTGTGCAAGTACTTTGCCCACGGTGGTTTTCCCAGAGCCCATCATTCCTGAATCCCCACAAGAAAATAGTTTAGCTGGAAGACACTGAATCATGTTTTCCAACAGAAACCAGAAGACATGGAAACAGAAACTGACCAACCAGATAAATACAGCGTCCTCTCAAATAAGGTTCTATGTCTTGTGTCTTAGTCTGCAAATTTTACCAGAATCCAATAAGAAACGCAGAATGCTACAATCATTGAGCAGAAAACTGAAGTCACTCTTGAATTGGGGTATCCTAACTTCACGATATATGAAAGCAAAGACATTAAGCATATTTTTCAGAAGAACACAGGCATCAAATAGTACCAATAAGAACACAAGAAATTCATATGCTATGTCATATCTTACTTACCTTCAAAGCAACTGACTCGTCGAAGGAAGTACAAGACTTTCCAGATTTCAAGGTCGGTGCTGCAAAAAGGTAGCAAACCAAAGATGTAAATATTCAATGATCAGAAACTGCAATCAGAAAAGGGCAAGTGAAAGTGAGCAGATCAGAGTTTTGCGTTAATCCCAAACTACCCATGAACGATGGAACCTAAAAGCATAAGCATCCAATTCCCACCCTTCCAGATTCCCAATGATTCATCCAATTTTCCACACAAGAACAGGACAAGCATAGGCCAGCAGGTTGCAAGGAAGCTATGACTCATTAAACAGGCCACGACCAAATAAACATAAACCCAGGTAAAAAGCCAAGAGTAACTGAAAATAGGAAGAATTCACAGTTTCCCCAAACAAGAAAACCAAAGAATGAAGGTAAAAGCGTAGCCAGAAAACGGCCATTGAATCTGATATACGCCTACATACTGTTAGAGAGTGGTATAAGATCCACGATTGAACCTCTCCCAACAACTCGAGTTATAGGGAGCAACTGGTTCTTGACATGGTATCAGAGCTTAGAACCGAAAGGTCATGTGTTCGAATCTCCACGACCCCCAATATTAACCGTTGTCTTTCAAGCACAAGGTATGGTGGGCCTGTGCAAACTTCAAGCCCGTGAGTTGGCTTTCGTTTGAGGGGGCGTGTTAGAGAGTGGTATAAGATCCACGATTGAACCTCTCCCAACAACTCGAGTTATAGGGAGCAACTGGTTCATATACCCAAGCACATTTTGGTTTCCAATTCAACTAGCTAATTCAGAGTCACAAATTACGGAATACAAAAACCTATTCCAAACTAAATCAGAATTCAAATCTCCATTCATTAGTCTAAGGGGTCGTTTGGAAAATATGAGTTTAAATCTATAGATTGTCAACAATCTAAAGATTCTAACTCTCCAGATTGTTGAAAACAGATTTTAAAATGTTTATTGTTTGGTAACTGTGATTGTTAACAATCAAGTAAAATGAATCCATGTCCTGAATCCTGTTCTCCAAACGACCCCTAAGGTCCACCAACACTAGAGACGTTGTCACATTGCTACATTCATCAGTTCAAACAACGCCCAGCACTCTCAGATAACAACTAATTCAAGTTAAGAAGATAGCCAAATTGGGATCAAATACCTTGGTATTCATTGTAAGAACAGGAGACATCCACCAAGCACACCGAACGCATCCGGCCACTCCACTTCCTCCGGGACACCGGGAATCGCACCGCGGGCATGAACTTCTCCTCCTCCTTCTTCTTCTTCGCCCTCGACGACAACATCGACGCAGAGCTGAATCGCCCGACATCCGTACAAACCCCCCAAGCACCAGGCAGCTGCATACTGATTGCTACCTTCGCATCCATTGCCGCCTAAAATTGAATCTCGGCTCCGTTCAACGGAGGCGGAGATTTTGAGTTTCGGACTTTCGATTTTTTCGTGGGAATTTGTTGAAGGCGGGAGGGGGTTGTTGAGTTCTACTGTGTGGGTGGGTGAGTGGAGATGGTTAGGTAGAGTTTGTGAGACAGAGAGCGGTCCTTCTCCTTCTTCTTCTTCTCGACAGAGAGAGAGAGAGAGAGAGAGGAATCAGCTGAGAAACGACCGCGAAATGTGGTTGGTAAGCGTCTGTTCAGTTTGTGCCTTTTTTTGCCGGTTTGGTAAGGAAGGAGACGATTTGGTCCCTCAACTTGGGCCGTGGTCAATCATCACAAGTTTACAACCAACTTGGGCCGTGGCAAGCCCGTCAATAATCATGAGCAAGCCAAGCCCACGTCCCGGCCCAAGGCGGACGTGCAAAAATTGTGCAATTGATATTTTCGGGTCGAGCGAAAATAGGAACTGTTCAGTTTTATTAAAAGATATTTTCGGGTTGGATCGGATCGAATTGGGTTTCTCTAAATTTCAACTCAATTCAAGTGATGCATTTATTAAAAAAACTCGATTAAATATTATATTCATTGGATTTTCGAAGTGAAAAACCGACTATATTGGGTAATTGGGTATCCATGCGGGGGCACATGAGTATCTATGGGTTCACGAACATAACAATACGTACAATGTTTTTTCAAACAATTACATCGTAATGTTATCGAAATTTTTTTCTACAAATATATTTTCATAAATGCTACGAACATTTTGTAAATTATCCATATTATCAGGAATATATAGCCATAAAGACTAATAGCTTCTATAAATTATTTATATAGTTCCAGTTAGTTATAAAATGATGTCTGCTGTGGCTTTCTACTGGAAAAATTCGAATTTCGAGGTATTATGTCTGCTGTGGGAAGTAAAGGAGAGAACGGTTAATATCTCAAACGCTGTCGTTTTCAAGCGAGTCGTTTCTTGGGCCAAATCAGTGAGGAATACAAATTTGGGCTGAATCAAATTATGAGCCCAATTAATAGTTGAGTGGTGGCCCAACATGTACACGCTCTCCACCACCATCGCCGAACGCCATACGACCTCCAATTCTTTTCTCGTACCTTCTTCTTCTTCAGTTCATCTTTCTCCCCGTCGTCTTCGAATTCTCGCCGAACTCTGCCGCTATCCGCCGAGCGTTTAACCTCTTGAAAGCTCGGAAGCCGAGAAGCTCTCTTTCAGAGCTGCAAAAATGGCGACTGTGATGCAGAAGATCAAGGACATCGAAGATGAGGTAACACAATAAAAAAATAATGGCGGCTAAGTGTCTTCGCCTTGCCTGTCAAATAGCTCAAGGGATTCTCCAGTTCATCTGGGAATAGTCTTTTCTGCTTCGCTTGAAATCTAACTGACTACCTTACGACTTCCCTTTTTACTCTAAATTGATGGATTGGAAATTTTGGGTCTTAATTTGGTTTAGATTATGAATAACGGTGGGGAATTTTTTTTTCTTTTTCCATGGTGTAATATGCAGATGGCGAAGACTCAAAAGAACAAGGCTACTGCCCATCATCTTGGTTTGCTCAAGGTACATGAAAGCTTCTCTTCTTTTTATAATGTTTAAAGTTTCGGCAGAGCACTTGATATGCTCTCATAGTACTGAGGTGTCGAACAAGCTGAAATGATTGTTCATCAGTGCGGTTTTGCTGGTGGGTGTTTACTGTGGAAGAATGGAAGGATGGAGCTCTTGTGGGTGCTTATTGTACTTTATATCTCATTCCTTTGTACTTAAGAGCTGGACACAGAAATGAATTTTGTATCTTGGATTCGTTGTTCGTTTAACTGTTAGACCTCGTACATTTCAGCTGTTGATGGACTGTGGTTCTTTTCTCTGTGATTTAGTAACATCCTCGGCATGCGTTTGAGCTGTTAGACTTGTATTCTCATTTGTTTTACTTTACTGACTCCTAGCAGATTGCTGTCTCGTAGGGCTATAACGTTTTTTTTAATATTCTTCTTACCTTTGTCCTGCTCGAATTGTTTTAAGAGTTTGATCATTGATGTAGTTTATGCCGTACACCTGATGTATGTTGATTTTCAGGCTAAGCTAGCAAAGCTCCGCAGAGAGCTACTTGAGCCTCCATCCAAAGGAGGTGGTGGTGCTGGCCAAGGTTTTGATGTGACTAAAAGTGGAGATGCCAGAGTTGGTCTCGTGGGGTTTCCTTCAGTCGGTAAATCTACCCTTCTAAACAAATTAACTGGGACTTTTTCGGAGGTACGGTGTAATTTGTGTTACTTTCCTTTCAGAATGCATTTTTCTTGTCAGGAAACCAGTGAACTTTCCAGAGGCTGAGATTCCTTCCAATTTTATCACCTTCAGGTTGCTTCTTATGAATTTACAACTCTGACTTGCATCCCTGGTGTTATCGTGTATAGGGGAGCGAAGATTCAGGTACATTACTTTCTACAGTGTTGTCAAAACTTAAGATTCATTTATCTGGGTAATGAGTTATGACCTTAAGTTGTGTAATCTTCATGTGGTCAGCCATTGGGGTACTTTTCCTGGTACATTATCCACCCAGACCAGTTTGTTTTAGCTAGAATAGCTGTAGGGAGTCTTACCTATTCCGAATAGTGTACCTGTAACATCGTTCTATTTTTCCCTGCATCTAATCCAAATATCTTGTCTGGAAGATCCACTGTGTTTCTTTCTTGTTCTTTTGGTTTTTATTTTCTCTTATCTTTTTCCTTTTTTTTTTCTATTGCTTTCTTTTGTAAAGAATAACCAAGAGGATGAAACTACACCTGTTATTGGTTATTTCAGTTGCTGGATCTCCCTGGTATTATTGAGGGTGCTAAGGATGGAAAGGGTCGAGGAAGACAGGTAAACATTTTTCAGTCATTTGTGTTGATTGTACGGGTAGCTGCGTTTATCTTGTTTTTCAGTACACGTTACTCTTCTCTATGTGATATAATGTTTCGTTAACTACACATTTTTCATTAAAGCATAGGCAGCTTATCGTGTTTAATGGTAGATGTTGATAGTGAATATGATGTTGACTTGTTGAGAGTGTACAGTGTATTGAACTATCATGTTTATGGACAGAGATGTACTTTGGGGTGTACCCTGTAGTCTTTGTAGTTAGGTTGTGTGATACCCTTCGCGAATCAACAACCCAAGCAGAGCTTTGAGTGTTGCCTTCTGTTTTATCTAAAGGTTGTTCGTCTAGTATCGAGGGCATTAGTATTCCATTGTTTAGTTAAAATCCCCTGATGATTGGTTGTAGTCAATTCACGCTTCTACATTTTGTACTCAACTTTCTTTTGGGACTTCTACTTTATGTACTCTTGGCTCTCATTTTTATATATGGTACCACCTGGATGAGTAATGTGAAGCTGCAAGTGAAATGCAGGTGATAAGTACTGCCAGGACATGCAATTGTATCATAATTGTTCTTGATGCAATCAAGCCAATAACTCATAAACGTCTTATTGAAAAAGAGCTTGAAGGTTTTGGCATAAGGTAATAACAAAGTACCATTGGTCTCTTATGTATGTTTGTGTATATTTGTTTAGATTTGAAGTCCCTGGATAGGGACTAGTTTCCACTTTTTTGCTCCGAAGATTCTGGTACCTTACTGTGAATGCATGTTGGATCTTTACTCTGTAGTTGTCTAGGAGAGGGAAACAGCTATATACAACGGTCTTGCTATATCAATCCTCTTTGGCAAATGAATAACATCATAAAAAGCTCTTTTGTCCTTTGTAAAACAGGTTAAACAAGGAGCCACCTAATCTGACATTCAGAAAGAAGGATAAGGGTGGGATTAATTTCACATCAACAGTTACCAACACACATCTTGATCTTGAAACCGTAAAGGCAATATGCAGCGAGTACCGAATTCACAATGCTGATGTTACTTTGAGGTTTGATGCAACGGCTGATGATCTGATTGATGTCATTGAGGGCAGTAGGGTATATATTCCATGTGTCTATGCCCTGAACAAAATCGATCAGATCACTCTTGAAGAACTCGAGATTTTGGATAAACTTCCTCACTATTGCCCAGTCAGGTGAAATCTTATTTCCCTGCTGCCTTAACTTTCTTTTTCCCGTTTTTCATTATGTTTCATTCTGGTTGTATGATAAGAGTGGATATTCTCGTATTGCTGGCCTTGAACATCTTAAACTTGACTGATGCAGAGGATTGTAGTGTGCTATGGCTAAAAATTGGATATCTTACGTAACTGCTCTTCTTAATGCGTAGCTAGGTTTAGTGCTATTAGAGGTGAAACATTAAGGGATTGCTTGGATGTTTGGATTTGGTTTATGAATTTGCGCACCAAATCTAATGTTTTGTCCAAAATCCTTGTTCGGTGAATTTATTTGGTGGGGTTTTCTTTCTTGCTCATTTTGCTGGACAGTGCTCACCTGGAATGGAACCTTGATGGGTTGCTGGACAAGATATGGGAGTATCTAGATCTCACTCGCATATACACAAAGCCCAAAGGGATGAACCCAGATTATGAAGACCCTGTGATCCTCTCATCAAAAAAGCGGACCGTGGAGGACTTCTGCAACCAGATTCACAAGGATATGTCTAAACAGTTCAAGTAGTGAGTATCTTGTCAATTCACTTTATTTATTTACTTTAGACATACTTAAGCATGAAAATAAAACACTTTCTCCAAACCGTGCTTCTGTGGGGAGCGGATGGGTTCTGTGTAGTTCTCGTTCTTCATTATGAAGTTCCCTTTTAGTACCCTTAACACAATTACACCTGGGGTGAACAAGTAGCTGTAAATCATGGATCTTCTGTTTAGGCAAATGGTACTTGTTTTAAGTTTCCCGTCGCCCATATGTTTTCGTCACTTAACATGGGTTGCCATTATTCCAGTGCATTAGTATGGGGATCCAGCGCCAAGCACAAGCCACAAAGAGTTGGAAAGGTACACATTTCTGCCGAGCTGCTCCTCATTCCACCAAACTAGTCCTTTCTTTAGTTTGCATGCTCACGAGGCTTGACTTTGATTCTTGCGGAACTACAGGAGCACGAGCTGGAGGATGAAGACGTGGTGCAGATTATCAAGAAGGTGTGAAGAAAGGCACGGATCGGTTGCTACCTTGTTATTATATTTATATGTCATTACTGAGTAGTGAGGTTACTGTGAAAGAGCCATGAAATTCGGAAAACCAATCAAGATGAGCAGGATGAGTGTTTCTCTACTTGGTTAGTTGGCGCGGTCTAGTGTTCAAACGATAGAGGCT